GGCAAGCAACAGTTAAAAAGACGACAGTTGATTTGAACGCAAAAACGGCACAAATTTGTCATTTAAGATGAAAAACAAAAAAACAGAAAAGAAACACAAGATCTAGCATTAAGCAATTTTTTTAGTGTTTTTTGAGCGTCCACAAAGCCACGATACGTGATTAGACGCCAATTGATCGACAAAAAAAGGCCATAGAAAACTGTCATAAAAAATTAACCATTTTTTAAATACAAAAAAATCAATGTCAGAAAAACAGAAGAGAAGCAAAACAACCAGCATTGGGAAAACTTTTAGTAATTTCGAGCGTCAAAAAACCAAAACATCAATTCGTACCATTGCGAGATACAAATTAGTCAGTGTGATGAAGATAACTAAGTGAAAAAAACTTGAAAAATTGGAAATACGGTAAATTCAATCAAGGAAAACAGACGAAAAACCCAGCTGGCAGTTACTATCAAAAAAAAAGATTAAAATAATTTCCGAGCGTCTTATAGTCCAATGACACTTAAACGGACATTATTCGATTTGAATGCAAAAACGCCAAAAAATGTCAAAAACGGAACAATTTCTTTTAAACAAACAAATATTTCAATTTCAGAAAAACAGAAGAGAAACTACAACTAAGATTGAGCAACTATTTTGAATTTTCTGAGCGTACATTAAGCCACAGCACGTAGTTGGATGCCAATTGATCCAGAAAAAAGCACAAGAAAATTGTCATAAAAAATCAAGTTTTTTTGGTAAAACAAAAAAGTCAATCTCAGAGAAAGAAACGAGAATCACAAAAACCAGTATAAAACAAGTTTTCAGTATTTTTGAGCAACAACAAAACAAAAAAACCCATTAGTAGCATTGCAAGATGCAAATTGGTCATTGTGATGGAAATAACTCAGTGGAAAAAACCTGAAAAACTGTAAATATGAAAAAAACTAATCTTAGAAAAAAAACACAAAAAACACAACCACTTCCAATGAGCAAGCATCAAAATTTTCTGAGCGTCCACTAAGCCAATAGCACGTAGTTAGACGCAAATTGTTTCGAAAGCAAAAACGCTAAGAAAATAGTCATAAAAAACTAATCATTTTTTTGAAAATTCAAAAAATTGACTCACAGAAACAACAAAAAGCAATAGGCAATTTTTTTTTCTTCTCGAGCGTGCCCGAAGCCACAGCACCGTTCCAAGCTAGTAAATGGTCAGTGAGATGAAAATAAAAAAAAAGTTGAAAAGATAGAAATACGAAAAATTCAATCAAACAAAAACAGACGAGAAACGCCATCTTCACCAGATGAGAAAGACCACTACAAGATTGTGGTATATTCTGAGCGTCCAATAGACCAACAACACGTAAATAGACGCCTGTCAATTTGAACGCAAAAACGTCAAAAACTTGTCATGAAAAGTCAATTTTTTTTGAAAAATTCAATATCTGAAAAACAGCAGAGAAAAACAATATCTAGCATTAAGCAAGCTTTTAGTTTTTTCTGAGCGTCCACTTAGCCACAACACGTAGAAAGACGCCAATTGATCAGAAAAAAAAACACCAAAAGAAATGGTTGTCACAAAAATATTCAAATTTTTTTTTGAAAATAGGAAAAAGACAATATCAGAAACTCAAGACGAGAAACACGTAGCAATAAGCCAGCTTTAAGTGTTTTCCGAGCGTTTACTCGTAACATTGCGTTATATTTTCGAAAAAAAAAAATTCAATACCTCAAAAAAAGACGAGAAACACGACAACCGGCATTAAGCAAGCTTTCAGTGCTTTTTGTCCAGTTTTCACTTTTTAAAATATTCTGTTTTCATTTTTTTTTTAATTCAGAAAAATTTTCAATTTTGCGGGGCTAGAAAATTGTTCCTAATATTTTCACTGGTTTAGGTAATTTTATAAATTTGCCAATTCCAAGGGCCATGCCGGCAATGTAAACAAAAAACCAAGAGAAAAAGATTTTTTTTTCAATTTTGAACTTGAAAAATCCTTACCTTCAAGCAGATTCAAAAAAGAAAAAAAAGAAAATTACCTGAGCTAAACTTACTGATCTAAGTACTCTAAACTTTATTAGGAACTGTAGACTGAAACCCTATTTTCAATTAAACGTGAAGACTGAATTCCAATAATTCTTTTTTTTTGTTATTAGAAAAGAACTCAGCTTCGTATTCTTATTCAGCTTTAAAGAACAGGATTTGTTCAATCGGCTTCCAAAAAAACGCAAAACAATCCACTTTTCTTCTGATTGGTGATTTTTTGATGATTTCAACCTAACTTTTTGTTCGCGTCAGCTTCCAGTTGGTTGAAATAGGAGAAAAAAAAACAGAAAAGTTGGACAGACAGATTTATTGGGCAAAATTAGGGTAACTCTGAAGACCAAAAATAAAACCACGCATTCGCACGCAGCAGATCTCGAGAAAAATATAAATAATTCAAAACTTTTTCATTACACTTCAAATATTATTGTTTCGACCATTTGAAAAACAGGGAGGAACTTAGTATTCGGGTGTGTTTCAGTTTTTTTTCACGCAGTTCAGATTTGTTTTTCACGCAAAATCAGGTACCACAAATAATCATCGGAATGGATCGAGTGATATATCATGTTAAAGCCCTTTCAGTTGTGATTCGAATGAGATTAAAAAAAACCAGTTTGAGAAAAGTCGATTTGAAATTTTTAATTTTTGGTCTAACTTCAAGCTAATGAAGCTCTAATAAAACTAGTGTGCAGGCTTAAAGCAGCTTATTTCTGCTGAATTTAAGCCGTGAAATTGAATTTTACTCGAGTAAAAGTTAGTTTTCTGGGTTTTTTAACGCCATTATGGGAATCAAAAACTTCAAAAAATTTCTGCAATAAAAATTGAAAAAAAGTTTCACGATTTTTTGGTTTTTCTAGTAATTTTTTACGAAAACTATTTTATTAAAACCTCTATTTTTCTTGCAACTGAATACCCTTCCTGGCCCAGAGGTAAAGTTGCATTTCGCAAACACAAGCTTAACCAAAGAGATACTTCATTCCTCTGTTATGTAAATTAAGGTAAAAAGCGGGCATTGCTCAGCCGAAATTGGCAAACGCCTATAAACTTGGAAAATGCCTATAATCTGATAAACGCCTATAATCTGGCAAAAACCCATAAATAAGGTTGGCAAACACCCAAATTGGCAAACGGATATGCCCAAAATTGTGAGGCCGGATCTAAAATTTTGAGGGTGGACTTTCAAATAAAATGTGAAATATTTAACGACCCTTCGTTAGCTTGATCAAAATAAATGTTCCTAGTTCTCCTCCAGTTTTGGCGGTTTTTATGGCGTTCTGATCAAAAAATTTGCGTTTTTTGGCGCGCGCTCCTGTAAAAAAAACTATGTAATGCCACCTTTAGACATAGGGCCAATCGGCCAAAAATAGATGTCATAAAATATCAACAAATACGGAGTTCTATGGGCAGTGAAAGGGTAGACTCCCTGAAGAGGGTGTCCCCTTAATTCCCCCTCTGCAGAGTTAATATTTGGCTCAATTGTGTGTATTCCACATGTAAAAAGGCTGTGAAGGGATAACTGAAGCTCTTAAAAATAATTTTCCCCGAATGTTCAACACAAAGCTTTTTGCCGATCAATTGAGCAATATAAATCCATCCATTCTCGCAAGGCGGTAGGGAGGAAGTAGTTCATTGGCTCACTTCAGACTGGTAACTTGCTTTCCTCGATGAGGCAATGGCCGCTCCAACAAAAGCTTGAGTTCTTCGATTGTTTTTTTTTCTCGATACCCATGTAAACTAAATTTCAGTCGGTCAATGGATTTGAGCATCCCTGATTCTAATAAATAAAAAATGACTTTTCAAAAATTTAGACTCAAAATGAATGAGTTGCTAGAGAATGTGAAGTCAGCAGCAGATTAAATTTTATAGTTTTATTTTCCAAATAAATTACAAAAAATACTAAAGTTAGTAGTAAGTAAAGAATATTTGTAGTAAGTAAGGAATAAAAGGTAAATTTTTCGAACTTAAAAATAAGTTTTTCGAAGGTTAATATTTAAGAGAAACATTGTTGAACCCAAACGCGGTTAAATTTTCCGCACAGCTAAAAAAATTGACCTTCATTTTTCCTGATTTTGTTTCCATGCAATTTTCGACTAGGCTTAGACTAGCCAATCAGATTTGTTGAAATAATATACTTTAAGCAGATTTATCAAATTTGTTGCTGACTTCACCAAATTTGACAACAGAGTAAACATATTTGAGTAAACAGTTTCGAAGTTCAATCAGGGGCCGATCCAGGATTTTCTCGAGGGGAGGGGGGGGGCAGATTTTCAACAAAAAAAATCGAAAATTTGGTCGACTTTTTTTAGGTCGACTAATTTGATTTTCTGAGCTCCAGCAAATCACTATAAAGACCCTATTTTCACCAAATTTTCTGCGCCGCAGGCGAGTTTTTGAAAAAAAAAACAGGCCAACTTTTTAAAAAATGCTGACCAAAACAATGCGTTTTTTTAGCGCGCGCTCCCAAATCAAAATTAGTATATATTGACGCCGAAAGCGCTTTTAGAAAAATTATAGGGTCAGTAAGACAAAAATGGGTAACTCAATATAGTACAAAGAGGGGAGGTACCCTTTATCTCAGCAGGGGGTCAGATGTCAAATCCTCCCCATCCCCCCCATTAATTCAATTAATATTTCGGAATGAGGGCCGAAAAACTTATGACCAACTTTTTGTCCCCATATGTTCATTAGAATCGAATATGTGAATATGTACCTGTTGCAAAGTTCACAGACGCCAATGTCTTTCATATAACACTCGATAAAATGCGTTCGGATTTGATGACCGTTTTATTTTTTGAATGTTTGCATCTCGCAATCTCCAAGCGCTCCATCTAAGAACTGAATCATCTGCTCGTAAAGTTTTCAGAGAATTGGATAAAAAGCCAATTTTCACATCTCAGACCTGTTTGCGATTACAACTCCTCGGAGGCACTCAAACGTATGGAATAAGACATACTAAATTAGTTGAACAATCCTCTCTTGCGCATTTATATGATGTTAAAATCATGAGAATAACATGTTTAATAATTTATTTAAAACATTCAAAATAGCACCAAATAAGAAAAAAATTGAGATTAATTTCAAAAATATACTCTACACTATTTGAAATATACGAAGAAACATGAATCATTGACGTTCATTACAGATTGGCTAAACATTTAACAGAAACAAACATAAACGATTTATTTGTTATTTTTCAACCGAGTTTCGCAATGTGCAAATTGCTCTCTAGTGCTATTCAGCCGACTGTGCAGAATGGAGACGAATCGGGACGGCAACTTGGGCAATTTTCGGCTGAGGGACTCTTCGGCTTGGAAATCTTGGTACATGGAAGACCACAGACTAGAGTTGCTGGCGTGTCGTTCGATGTTGGCCACGGTTTGGGGAGAAAACAAGCAAACTGAGCTCAAAAGCTGGTCGTGATAATGACTAAACTTGTCTAGTATTCTGTAACTATGAAGCAGACCTGATTCGTTGTCAAATAACAGATAAAGGTTATCGGAGTTTCGTTGCTGCAAATTGTGTATGGGATACTGCAACATTCTTGAGTTCCATTTCAAATTGTTCAGATTGTTAACGACTCGATCTAAGTTCGCAGTTAGATAGTCGAAAACTACCATGTCGGACCACTGGGCTAATTCTGCTATTTCAACTGAGTTCAAAGATACTGAGCTCTGATTGGACAAAATCGTTGGCAAAGAGGCCAAAGTTGACCAATCAGCGACGGAGTTCTGATCTGTCTGGAAGTATAAGGGTATATTGACAGGATGAAGGTAGTCGATGAACTTGGTAAGGATGACCAATTTTCCCTCCTCCCAGCCCCCTTCGCCCTCGTTTTCATTTTTGAGCAGCTGAGGGGCAACATCTGACCAGAAAGGATCGGACGCGTTGAAAACCGAGAGTTTGGTTGGGGCAACTTTGTTAATACCTGCAAAACAGACATAACTTTTACTTTATATTTTGACAACCAATTTGTGACAACATTTTTCTTGAAGATCAACATTTACTAGGGCTGAAAGGGGCTAGAAGAAATCAACATATAAAAAGATATAAAATTGCAAAAAAAAGATCCCTAAAAAACCCTAACGAAGTTGTTTACGGAAAAAAAAGTCAAGAACCCGATTGCAATACCCTTGCTTAACGCAAGCGCAAGCAAAACATTCAATCCAAATTTACGTGAGCTCGACCATTTTTGTTTCAATAAAAATTTCAATTACTTTCTTTCTCATCAATGTGAAAAACAAGAGAATGAAACTTGTTTATTTCAATGTCCCAAAAGGAACAACGTTAACGAGTTTTTGCTATAAGTATAACTTAACAGCATAAACTTTACCGCTTCTTTGCTCGTTAGACCAAAGAATTTAAAACGTTAGAAACGTTAGAAAAAGAACTACAACGTTAGAAAAGTTACCGCAAACCCCCCCCCCCCCCCCCCCCCAACCCCCAAGCACTTCCCCAGCTTTGAGAATTTCCGGATTAAAAAGGGGTTTTTATACGCGGTCAAACATGGTATGCTAATATTATGAAAGATTGTGGATGAGGACTCAAACTGACCAATCGCACGGCTGAGATAGAACGAGAAGACCTCCCCCTGGATCTGATCCTGGTTCTGTCTATACCTGCAACACACTCGCCCTCCCCCCTCCAAGTGCAGCAGTCTGTTCTTCATCCGACCACAACCCTTCTCCACGCCCACAACACGTGACCTGCTGATTTCGTCTAAAATATAAACAAACAATATGATTTTTATCTGAAATGTTCATGTTGGCGCCACTGAATATCAACCACGCAACATGATCAATTATTGATCAAAAGATCTCTTCTTGCAAGAAAACATTTAAACGTTAAAAAAAGTCATCAATAGCATTTTGCAGTAAAAAAATAACATTTCCGGAATTGTGAAATTAAAAAAATTAATTCAACTACTATATCTTCTGAGTTTGATTAAGCAAGCATAGATCGTAACAAAATTAAAATTAGTAATGAAGTAATCTAATTAAAATTAATTTTTTGGTTTCTGCCAGTTGCACATGATCTAACAAAGACTGCATATGAGATCAGTCTTAATTTTCATAAGAAGACTTCGTTCGAAATTACTTGAACGTTTTACTCGATCCTTCTTTTAAATTCACAATCTTGTTTAATTTTCTCGAGGCACTACCAGTTGAAGTTACATTTTGACGGTTTTTCTATCTGAAGTAGGCCAAGCAAACTAACCTTTCCACTGTTTAAACTCCTCGTTAGAGAACCCCTGCGGCATCCTTTTCATCATCTTGCTTGGAAAAAATATCGAGGCACTCCACTCCTCGAGATTCAATTGGTCACTTTGCATGTTGTCATTCCTCATGATTGAAATCCTCTGTGATATGGTAACTATTGCGAATAGGCTGAGAATCAGGGCTCCTGACAGTAACAAAAGACTATTATTTGACCGGTCAAAGGTCACGGAAACATTCGCGGGTCGTCTTATTGATCCCGTTTCATTATAGTGACCCCGAACCTGAACACGGCCGAAGGAGGCGGTGTTAGATTTGCGTGGGTTGTCAGGGTAATCGCAAACCGACACAGACTTTAACTGATTTGCTGCCATAAATTTCATTTTTTAAATTCGGATAGCAAAATAGTGTCTATCAAGAATGCTTTCGAAGTTTACGTTTTACAAATCTCTCAAATTGAAAATATTTCAGTTTGCAAATGAATGAAATTGAGCCAAAATATGTACGAAGGATCTGCGTTGTGAAGTTCGGGTTGTTGAAATACTTCCACCAGATATGAGATACGATTGTTGATAACGAGAACTTTTTCTTTACGACGAAAAAGTAAACAAAGGGAGCAAAGTGGTTTGTTTGGATCAACTGGTTGGAAGAAATTGGAGCTGGAACTATTTGATTTTATAGCTAGGAAAATAAATTGAATTGGCGGCGTGTTAAATAAAAACGAGGAACAATGGATTAAGGAGACTAGAAGGTAGATTTCTCTTTACCGATCAGTTTTACCAGTTTTATAATAAAATATGAATTGTTGTCAGCGATTTAATGCTTGGATATAAAAGCGCACACTGCATCGTAATGTAATACGGCTTTTTTAAATCCTTTTTCTCTTTTCCAATCAATAAATTCAAACTATCAAAATGGCTTTTGCACAGATCTAAAAAAAAACTCCTTGCGAAAGTAGAAATGCGGAAGGGTTTCTTCGATCGACCGGTGGTTGGCTTCGAATAATGTCTGGTTGGTTGAGGGGATCGTAAATTTGGCTAGATCAGATGCGTCTTATGACAGCAATTAATCAGGTTATGACAGGGTAATTCGGTCGATTGCGGGAGAACAATTCAAACACAGGTGTACACTCCTCAATAAATCTCAATCAGTCCGCCAATATGAGCAGACGAGCCGCTATTAAACGAGGGACCCGTGCCACGATCAAAACAGACAACAAAAAAACAACTGAGACCAAATTCTCCGCTTTTTTCTCGTTTTTCTTCTTTTTTTTCAGTTTTCTATCAGAAATTGCAGTAACATCTGATGAACAATTTGAAACTCTCTCATCACTTTTTGGTTTTGAATAACAGCATCAACATGAATCATCGGAACTAAAAGGCAGTTTATCCAGTTTAATCTTACGCAATGCTGATGTAATATTATAATGTTATGCAATAGTGATGTAACAATACCTAAATGGCGATAAGGAACTGAAAGTGGGGATCAGATGTGCTGCTGATGATGATGGTGGACCGATGGAATTGTTGTAAAGTGTGGGTGTTACCTTTGGGATTTTGAGTGAAGTTTCGTCCCCTGTGTGACGTATAGAATGAACATAAATTAATCTCCTGTCACGATTTCATAATTTCATTCACATTATTCCCCTGTTGTCAAATATTTCTATAATAACCGCTTGCTTTTTCACGAATTTGCTTCGTTGTCTTTTCAGCCAATTTTGAGGGCGCAAAATTAATTTGTTTGGAATTAACGGGAAATTGAAAATGGGAGCTCTTCTGAAAAATTAATTCTGGTTCAGGTGCAGTCAAAGTTCCAATTTCCTTCGCTATAAAAACTTTCGATTTTGCGTCTTCTTCCAACTGAAACAAAATATCCCAATAAATGTCAAGTAAACAACATAAACAGTAACCAGACAAAAATAAACGTTTTCTTTGCGCATAAGATTAAAGGTGTTTTTATGCCAATTAAAATGCGGAAAAAACTTGAGATAACCTTTTACATTTCTACCCACTATGTTTTACTTTTATTATTTCATATCGGTTTGAAGAAACTTCATTTTTAAAAAATAATATCAAAGAGTCGTTTGGGCCGCAGAATTGAAGTGGTTAAAACTATATGGCAGACACGTGGGTTCAGTTTACTATTATGGGAAAACAGAATTTACACTCGTCTGTAGATCGGATAAAGTAAATTGAAAGTGAGGAAGATGAGAATGAGATTAATGGATTCTGACTGATTGCAAAAAAGCGTTTAAAAGAACAAGAGTTTATGCGGTGTTGTTTATCGCCTCAATACCGTCAAATGCCCTTTTTTACTCGACGCATTTTTTCACTAAATGTCATTAGCAGCCAAATTTATGTGCAGTTAAGGACACGCAATGAAATTTATGAACGAAACATGATCTGAATTTTCCTTTTTTCTTTTTTTTTCACTTCATTTGACATCAACAAAAAATAAGAGAGGCTAGTCTGCGGTTTTAGGTTAGTAAGGTTAGTAATACTAATGATAGATAGAAGGGCAACTCTTATACATTGGGCTAAATTAGCAGTCAGCTCCCTGGGATTCCCCTAAGATTTCACCCAAATCCAATTTCCAGAGCCACAAATTTAAACGCGCCCCCGTCGAGCTAGAAAATGAGAGTAAAAACAGCATCTATTGCCAGAACTGCGCCGCACGGGGAGTGTTATGCAAATTTTTGTCTTTTTCAATAAAAATTACACTAAAAAGCTAAGATCTTATAAAAGGGGGCGTTTCCGTTACAAGATAGAAAAACATGAGAGACGTTCAATAAACTCACCAATTAGACGATATGAAAAAGAAAAAGTAATTTAAAGAGAAAATGACTCAATTTAACAGTGATTGTGCCATTCTGACTGCTGGAAATGAAAAATAGATACTGGCTCAAGTAACTGTTTTGTGTTTTCTCAATATGTAATGTGTTCACATGTTCTCAGGTTAGGGCAGTTGATAAAATCAATAGAAAACTCAATTTTCCGGCTGTGGTTCCCCAAATATTTAATTTTTCTGCTGCTAATCTCAAAATAGTGAATCACCCCTGCAAGAAAAGATAAAATCGGGTCCCAAAAATAATCAATGAAGTATTTTGAACAGCTAAAGTCAATTTTACTCAGCTGGAAAGGCTTGCAAGCTCACCTTAGCCAGAGTTATTTCTGGTAGTTAAGTTAATAATAAAACAGCGGGCGGGATTCGTTGTTTGGTGGCTTTCAAATTGGATAGGAAGAATTACGGTTGGAGGGTACTTTTGATTGAGGTCCTAGCCAGTTATGCGATATTAACAGACTATTTTTGATCGACCGCAGATTTCAAGCTTAAGTTTCTCTCCGTCGGATAATCCGGCGAAATGAATGGGGCTGAATAGGGGGCTGAATAGTGGCAGCGGATACGCAATTAAGAAATAAAGAGAAAATCCGGCCGAAACAATCCGCTTGCCTTTCCTTGTCTTATTTTAATACAATTCCCGGTCCGATTTATTGACTTTTGCACATATTTTGCCAAAATTACATCTATGTCCGTAAGGCACCAGCCAAAATGGTACAAATGTAGCAGCAGCAGAGATGGCATGACTTTCTTCATATCTATCCAACAAAGCAGACCAATAAAAGACAAAAAAGACAGAAAACTGGAGTTATATTGAATATCAAGTTGACATTCTTCCTCAATTAGAATTTTTTTTTACTGGAGCTGTCAAACAGCATAATTTATTGTTTCCAGTGGCGCCATTTTCCAACGGCCATCCGTTTATAAAGTCTGACATTTATTCACGGTACGAATCTATTTTCTTTTGAAATCCAAAGAATGGCCAATCGGTAATGGACTGGTGTCATAGGGCCAATAAAACATTATCCAAAAAGTGTTAAGCAGACCAATCTATAACAACAAGAACGCACGGGAAAATTTCCAAACCTGAACCAAATAATAAGAATACATAAGTAACCAATGAGTTAAAATAGCAGGTTCAGCAAGTCAGATTGCAAATCACCTTCAAAAGACATTCAAATTGGTCTCCGACAGTGACTATCGTATGCTCGCAACCACTTTTAAAAGTAAGTGAAAAAAATACAAGATCCGTAAAAAAAATTGCATCATAGAAAGAAACCAAAGCAACTGAACTTTTCAAATACATTTTCGTTTTCTTTTTCCGCAAAGAAACACCAAAAATTTTCACTGAAATCTATCTAGAGCAGTTCACTGCTAAAAACTGCATAGAATTTTTCTAGTTTCCTATCCCTTACGCAAAATTATCATATGAAATTACCTTAAAATTGCTTACATTGCAACCTGCATGAAAGGAATAATTACCAAACACATTAACTTTTCGACCTTCCAAAATATGCTCAACAACTGCATTTGGCACGTTTTCCCAAAACACTTTGCCTGCGGAGCGGATTGTGTTGTCCAATAAGTGGCTTGGTTGAGCTAAAAACATTTGAAAACAAGGATAGCCGGTTACTGCGCAAGTAGCATAGGATGTTCCGACCATAGTCTTAGAAAAAAACACAAAAAAGTTTTTACAAATTCTTTTCGTTCTTTTTGGCGTGGTGTGATAAAAGGATCTGAACGAAAAACTATAGATTAGGCATATTCGACAGTAATAAAAACATGAGCAAATTGAAAAACAATTTTTGTAGAAAAATGACTGAAAAAGCAAAAAAAACATCAAAAAAAATTGTCAAAAGCTTTTTTTAAATTTTTGATTCAAAAAAGGTGTTAAAATACTCAAAAAAAACTAAAGATACCCGAGTAAAAATAAATTTTAACGTTTTGAATTAAGCTATTGTAAAATTTTAAGCCATTAAAATTAGCTATAGTTTTCCGGTTTTTCATATTATTTCAATACCGGTTTTTCTCTACACTGGGAAAATTTTATGGAAATTTTTCAAGGTTGTTTGAATAACGACAGAAAAATTTTATTATGATATATCACTGAACTCACTCCGATGATTGTTTGTGGTAGCTGATTTGATTTGGGTGGAATACAAAACAAAAAGAAAAAAAATAAAACCCACCCTAATATAAAGTTCCTCCCCATTTGATATTTAAAATTTCCATTTCAACTGCATTACGAGGCCAAACTGTGCACTAAATAGCCACATACATTTGTGTCTGTATGCTACTGGATTCTAGATACAAATCTTAATACATGTTTAAAGTTCGTCGGAATGTTCAAAGAACATGATAGAACAAAAGAAAAAGGGATTGTCTTTGTAGTGGAATCCGATTGCACTTCACAAAATGCACACTTTGGCCTCGTGATGCGGTAATGTGCTATTTGAATTGTTTTAATTTGGGCATCAAATTCAGTTTAATCAATTTCAGTGTCATCAAGTTGGTCTGAAAATCGATAAAACACAAGGTTCTAAACTTTTTGAACTCAAATCACGGATGAAAAAGCTTTAAAATGATACCGCACTTGACCCTTATGAGTTATTTTGGGAAAATCACAAAACGAAACATATTAAATTGATTGATTCAGTTACTAATAAAAAAGAACCTATATTTAGTTTTATTCAATACCATCCTAAAAATAAGCATCCAGAAATAGCCCAAGTTGACCTCCACGCCTAAGTAATGCTTATCATACAATTCTAAGCAAAAAAAAATGCTTGTCAGACAATTTCATACAAGAAAACAGCTAATCCTAAAAATTCATACACGGATTGTATGGGAAAAATGTTTATCATACAATTTCCATGTAAAAAACCGTACGATAAGTAACTTTTACCTTAACCAAAAAAATTCCGAATTAAGAAATCTAAATTTCAGGAAAATTTTTTGTCTCAAATTTTAGTCGCAATACAACTTTTCATGTTCAAAGAAACCTTTTTGTCTTCAACGTGATTTTTTCCTTCAAAAGAAACAAAATTGAGTGAAAAGTTTTGTGCAAATCCCAAGCTGATTTTTTAAATGCTTTGATATTGTAAAATACACTTCATTTGTCAAAAAATCAAGCCTCAATTTTCGACGAGAAAAACTTTCGAAGAAAAAGTTTCTAGCCAAATACATAATTGCAAATTTTTGATCACAGTTCTGAAAGAACTATGTAAAACTACCGTATACAACAACTTCCCAAATGCGAATATCTGTGAGAATTCTTGTGATATAAAATCTTTGTTAATTAGGTTTTCGGACAAAACACAAAGATATTTAGCAACTTGAATGGCGGTCGGAACTTTCAGGAATTCACCATGATTCAAGCAGTCTTGTTAATTTTAAGCTAGATGCTATTGCAGATTTCGAACACAGTGAAGATATGGATGTGAGTCCGAACCTAAATTTAAATCTCACCTGGGAAATTGCCAACTGGCCGGGTCTGATTCCTTTGTGTTTTATCTAAGTGGAAAAAGCAACAAATTTGTAAATTAAATATTCGTTGCAGCAGCGAATTTAGGGGGAGTTGGGCGGACACCCCCTCTTCAGGGATTCGAACCCTTGACTACTCCATTATGGGTAGGTGGTACTATTTTAAGCGCTTCATCTTTGGCTGGCTGACCAAATAAAATTTCTAAAGGCGCTTTTGGCACCATTAAAAAATATTTTAAAGCTGGGAGCGCGCGCCAAAAATACGCAATTTTTCGGTCAAAACTGTCCAAATAGTGCCTAGAAAACGCGTTTTTATTGTCACGTTTTTCAAAAATTTGCCTGCAGCGCAAAAAAATTTGCCAAAACAGGGCTTTTCTTTAGTAATTTGGGAGAGCGCTCAAAATCAATTTGTTCGACCTAAAAAAAAGGTCTACAAATTTATCGAACATTTTTTTGAAAATCCACATCCCCCTCGAGAAAAACCAAGACCTACCCCTGATTCGTTGATCAATTAGATTTAATGTTTCTACAATTGCGGCCGAAATTAGACTTTAGAATTAGAAGAGCTTGAGGGAGTTCATAAACAGTAAGAATTTAACAAACTTTTGAACTACAGCTAAAAAGTACTGCAAAGTTTTTGATGACACCAAATAAAGCGCTGTGTTTTCTAAACGCTGCAATTGATTGCGTATTCTAGTAAATTTTCTAGCAGAGTAAATTTTAGTAGCTAAACTCAAGCTAAATTATCAGGGGAAACACATTCAAAATTGGTATTAAAATTCAAGTAAAAGTAGCGGCCGGTATTATAATAAAGTACACCAAAAGCAGATCCAAGCTTGCGATTACAATTAAGAGCAGAGGAATTTCTTCGATTAAAACTGACGACATGAAGATAATATGGAAACTATCTTGATTTGACTAGAATGTCTTTAGCTAACATTTATTCTTACCTGGAACCGAGAAAACGGAAACAGTTCAAACTGTGAAATCATTTTGAAGAAAAGAACATCACATAGTTCTTTTTGTGTTTTCTTGATCAAAATTTGTAATTGAATACTATGGAAATTTGCGTTTTGTAATCAAAAATAGTTTTAAAAATTCATATCTGTCATTTGCATGCGCAAAACAGACGTGAAAAACTTATCGTTATTCCAAGAATATTAACATAATCTGAGTCTCGTTTAAATGAGTTGTTACTTTATTTCGGTCACTTAAAGTCTGCCAAAAAGATTTTAAAAATGCAAAAATATCATATCGTAGTAAATATCTAGTTGCAAACAAAAACAAAGCACTTGCCGCTGTGTTGGAGCCTCTGAAGTTTAACGGAAACCAAATTTAAAAATAAATGTTATCAAAAAGTAATTTAGGACTTAGAAGTACGTGCTGATTGATAAGTACTTTCAATTTGGGAAAATTAAAGCAGATAATTTATGAACAGCCAGCAATCAGATTGCAATCCATCAGTCAGTGTGAGATATAAAAACGTAAGAATTAGTTGAAAAAAATTCTTTGTAGTAGAAGAAATTTGAGTCATAAAGCGGACTGAAAATCAATGGGCTATTGTCAGCAGGCGGAAATTGTAGGTATTAATATGCATTCAAGTGTTACTTGAGAAGATCTCTTTTGTGAATTTAAATGGAACCTTTTATGAATAAAAGGCCATTACTGCAGTCAAAAATGCATCTCTTATTAAGCAGTTTGGATTGTCAAATCGTAGTTGGGGACAAAAAAGGAAAATTGGATTGTCAGTAGACGGGGGGAAAATGTGACGGGTATGGAAAATAAAAGTGCGTATAATTTGGTTTAATCCGGCTGGAGCCCGGCTAAAGTGACGGGTGGGGCGACACATTTTTCCACCTTAAACAGATGTCAATTAGCAGTTTTAAGCGTTACTGCCTGTCTTGTGATGTATTCCATTAGAAATTTGACAGTGTAATCAGATTAGGAAATGGAAAAGGGAAAAGGATAAGAATTGAAACCGATTATGTCCTGAGTAGTTTCCTGAAACAGTAACCAGGCAGCTATTGGTACAAAAAACCAAAAAGGCTTCTCTATCTCAACTCCGAAGAAAAAAAACTAACTAGCGTGTAACAAACCTCCGGTGCTACAAACAGATTGGCGAACGTGATTTATGCTTCTATATAAAATACATGGAGAAAAGCTGCGAAATGAATACAATCGTAGCAAAGACCGGGGAATCCAACAACGCTTTTTTAACTTGAGGTTTTTAAAACCTAAATGGTCAAATCTCCGAAATTACTGGGTTCCAGATCTTCGTAATTTAACTCATTGACGAAACCCTTAATAGCATGCAACAGCACTTCTTATATTTTAGAAAAAAATGAAACCATTTCATTCGCAAAATCATCAAATTCATAAATGGGATTCATAATCCAGCGTAAAAAATTTTAAAATATCAGTCCCTTGTTGCTAAACTTAATTGTAAGATAATGCTGAAAAAGGCCCAAGTTTACTTAATTTGCGAGTTTGAGGCACAGATAAGCAAAACCAATCAATACTGAGCTGTTCCGTCGCATTGCTTCGAAAAATTGAAACAAACTGAGCTTTATCTAGGCCAATTCGGAACCTGTACACACACGGATCGATGCTCCGCATCACTTGCGATACAGAAAAAAACTATGAACAATTGAAAATATACAGAACAAAGAAATAAAATGCGGCTTCACGCAATTGCAATGTATCACAAACAAAGCATGTCAAGCTAGCCGAAAAAAATAGACAAAAGCGACAACATAGGAAAGAATTGTTCGGAAAAATCATCGAAAACTGTTTTAACGAAATTTTCATACATTTGTTTGGGTTTAAGTTCAACTTGAGGAAAAATGTCGAGAATAAAATTGCAATCAGCAGATTAGCATTGAAATAATCAACAATTTTTGTAATAAATATAAGCATTGAAATATAACAATTTTTGTAATAATAAATTTTGAGCTGGATAAATTTTGCATCCCTCCCAGTACAGTAAAGAGAAAAATAATCCGCCATTTCTTCGAAAATAGTCGGAATAATTATCATCGGCCTTCAAAATTAGCAATTTAAGATTAGAAAACACGGTTAACCAATATAAAATTCTATTCGGAGTTGGCTTACAGCCAACTTAAATAGAATTTTTGAGTAGAACGGGAACTTGATATGCAAAAGTAGATGCTCAATGAAGTTACCGACAGAATTCGAAATTATTCTTACACAATTGTAAGAAAAAATGTTTACAGAAATCTAAAGTTCCCAATTACAAGATACTTGCCCTATCAATTGTAAAAAAAGTCAAACTCATACCATGAATTTCTTTTTATTTCATTGAAAACAGTATAAACAATACACTACTTTAAGGAAAAACTTCTGCATACACAGAAATATCTCAAAAAAAATTTAAGTTAAAAATTTCGAAAAAAAAAATTCACATCAGAGAGTCTCGAATTTTATTAAACTCATGTTAAATGTACAATTCAAAAATACTTACACGTTGCGGAAATGAAAAAACTAGCTAATTATAGCAGGAAATTTCAAATCAAAATCCAATTTTCGAAACTTAAATTAAATTCAAAAAGCACAAAACTTCGAAAGTCAAACAGCAACTGAGAAAAAAAGAATTAAAATGCACCAATATGCTTGTATCAAAGTGATGTCCTCAATTTCTTTAAGAAAAAACTTCAAAACTCAACGTTTTGCTAACTTCCACATCCATCTCACATTTTGGGTTCGTCAATTTATAGACTCACAAAATGTTTCAAGTCCATAATGATAAAATTTATGTATAGCTCAGAAATCTTTTATCAGCTCTTTTATGTTTGGATTTTAAAGCAAAGTATGTAACCCAACACATGTTTTCAAATAAATTGAAAAAAAATACAGCACGTCAATTGTCCCACTGTTCCTCATTATTCATGCTTTTTGTTCTGACCACCACCTTACAAGGATGGGAAGGACTTGTTGATAAGCCTGTGTTTTCTCGCCCGATTTGGTCTTCGCAGTTAAAAGAAATTTTTTGAAGTTTTCTTAATAAAAAACTCACTAAAAACTTATCAAAAAAATATATTTTTTTCATTCACATCAACTCATAAACATAGATGTGAACACCAGTTTGCCCCAAATTTTGAATTAGATTTTATGATTTTTTTCTTGAAAAATCTGAAAACTTAAGAATTTTTTTCATCGGTTATTTTGTTTAGTTTTTGTCCGTTTACATTAAAAATCTGATTTGGCCATTATTTTCATTCGGAAAAAAAATTAAAAACATTGCCTGAGTCTTGAGAATTATTCGTCTGAAATTTGGTCTGAAATTAGAAAACTTGATTAGTCTGCAATTAGAAAACTTGAATAGAGCCGGAAAACTAAATCTACTTCTAATATTACTGTTATTTTAGCTTAAAAAAAACACTTTCTAGCATTTTTTCTGCTAAATCAGTCCCCCCAAAAAGTATATGGAAATTTGGGCAAAAATGGTTCAAAAAACTGTAGAGCTTCAAACAAAACTTCATTTTTTGAAGTTTTGTCTAATTTTTTGAATCATTTTTAAAATCGGCGTGGTCGCAACATTTTGTGCTACTAGCACAGCAACCGGCTATCCTTGTTTCAATTTTAAAAACGCTTTCAGAATCTTTTCTTTGCAATATAAAATATTCTCAAGCACTTGGGTCAAAAAATTAAATGGAATGTTAACTTTTAAAATGATCAAACTTTTGATTAAACACGAGTGAAAAAAACACTGCTGCTTTGCATTCTTTGTTTCAAAGCAACCTTAATACGCAATGTTAAGCATAATTAATTAAGAAAAACTTTGAGAAATAGAATAAAAAACGTCTACGGGATTCGAATCGCCGACATCCAGATTTCGCGTCGTGCAAGCTCTCTTAGCTGCGTTTTAGATGTTAAGCAACATCGAGTACTAAAAACGAAGCACTTTAACAACTTGCAAAACATATATTCAAACAAGACTGCTCGTATATCAGGGCAAAGCCCTGAAGGTTCTGACTGTCCCTTCATTCATATCAATTAGTTTTTGGTAAAAGAAAATATTAAAAACCTATACATTTTGGACAATATCAAAATGTAAAATTTTGAGTCGTACGAAATCAATACGACCACCAATTAGCTAGCCTCAATTCAATTTGCAACGATTTTGTTGTGCGGGATAATTCACCACGCATAAATAATTGGCGTTACGCTCTCAGCATTATGAATCAACTCTTCAAAGAGCTCATAATTTAGTCCAGAACATGGCAAATTTGGCAATTTTCAAACCCCCAGAACTTTACAAAAAAAAATCGGAGGTGTTTTTTTTTATTTGAGCTCAGGAAGTCAATGTCTTCAATGGGGTATAAAAAACTTTTGTTTAAAATTTTTTTTCGATCGCTGAAAATTGACTGAATAAAAAACCACACCTAGCATAAGTATTCCGTTTTCTGCGAAAGTCGGAACAATAAGTCGCCCTAAAATGAAACTCAGCACAAATGTTGAGCACAAATTGAGCAAAACTTTAGGATGGAAAAAATATGAACTCGTATTTTAACACAAGCGTTTGCTCGTGTAATTAAAACAAGGAAAAGTAATTACCTGAGTTACGTGAAGTTTCACTTCATATCGTAGTTATAAACTGATTTAACATAAATAAATGTATAAAGCCTTGACCAATTATTTTTTGTATTATATTTTTGGCATTGAAAAAAAGCGTAACCGGTCAAAGACAAACAGACAACCAAAATTAAATCTAAATTTTTTAACGTTTATGTGCCATTAAATTGTACTAAAGTACTTTATCTATGACTATGTTCATTCCAAATAATGGCATTCGGAACAAATAAAGCGGAAATTGATACATACTGATAACTTCATTTCTGTACATCTAGAGAGCCATTTAAATACATAATTGACGAATCAATTCCGCTGCAAAAACAACTTATCAAAAATTCAAATATCATCGGAAACAGACAAAGTGAAACTAATTCAATTTAACTTGTTTTTGAGCTGTCTACTATATTGTTAATATACTCTTATTGAATAAAACCTGAGATAATTATACAAGCAAATTAAAAAACAAAAGTATTGATTTATGGTTCTATAAAATTCACAAACTTATTTTGAACAATACATTTATTTGTACTAAAGGCAGAATAAACTTTTAAGACGGTGAAGCAATCAAGAAACTTTTATTCAAGCATTAGGCGAAATATTTGTGAACACTTCTAAATTGGGTGACGAGGAACATGATCACTTTAAGCAAGTTCCTCTCAGGTCTTCAAGCGCATCAGCCGAGGATAAGAAAAATTCGGCATCTGGTCTCTTAAAAAACTTTAAAATGACTAACTTCGAGGCTAGTTTTTAGAAAATAAATCAACTTGACATGTGAGTTGGTCGTTATTATAATTCCAAAATGAGCTGAATCATCTCCGAAAAAATCCCTACTTAATATGCACTATCAGTGTCATTCTAATCATAGAAGCGGTAACTTAATTTGACGCTACCAGAGAAATCTAAATTTTCAGATAATTCCATCTCCCTTTTCAACCCACCCACGCGGCAACAGTTTGACAAATTGACGTTAAGAGAATCAAGTTAATTGAGCATTTCTAGAATATTGATTAAAAGAAGTTATTTTTTCCCCAAAAATGAATTATCATTTAGCAGTTGCGTGAAAATCAAGACCAGTAAGTTTGCTTTTTAAGGCAGGTAATTTTGCTTTTCTGGCAACGCCCGTGAGCCCAGAATAATTTTCATTTTAGTAGCGAGCAATTTTTTGAAGAAAAAGTCCATTTTATTTCAGTGTTTAGGGAACGTTTTAGTGTTTAGAAGAGCAAATCAACGCGCAGTCCTTCAAGACAATTTAGGTGGTGGGCAGT